CCAATATTTGATATTACAGAGTAAAAAAAGATTAGCTTTTTGAACAAACTAGGCATAGAAAAAAAAAAGAAAGAGCCTTAAAAGTCAAATAGAAAGCCCCATAATCAAATTCAAAACTTGGCTTTTTTCATGAGCTAGAGAACAGCTGTATTAAGGTGTCTGTAATTTTCCCAAACCATACATCTCAAATGTTGTGATTCTCCATAATATTCCAGAGTTTAATATATGCCACGCTTTAGGACAGTAAGTCACTATGAACCAGTTTCTAGAAGGGCTTGCATTGAATAATTTCCCTTTTAACTGTGATTCTAAGTTGCCAGCCCTTAGCAAGGAAGTATGGAAGAAGAATGATTCAGAGACAGGTGTTCTTAAAATGAAGTAAGCATGTAAGGGAAGGTACTAGCCTGTCATATGCAGCAATCATAAAGTTGAGGAGGAGGCTGATAGATTGTTCCACACTAATTTGGTGAGTAGAAGGAAGGCGCTTGTTCAACTGATAGTAGATGGAGGAGATGACAGTTTCCAGGCGAGACACACTGATCTCAGTGGCATGGTCCAGTGTATTAAGGCCATTGTCTCGGAAGGCTTCAATCATGTTCCAGATATCAACAAGATGAACTAAAAGACAAAGAAAATAAGCTGTCAACAATTTTAAAGTGTGGTACTACATTCACAATAGGACTCTTAAATTTATCAACTAGTTCTTAAGTTTAAGAGAAGAAACTTTTTAGCCAACAATGAGGAAAAAAACATTCTGTGGTCAAATAAAGAACTTCAGTCCTAGACAACATCAAGGAGCCACCACAGCGGTAGGGGAAGGACCACTTCCAGACTTCACATGTAAATAGCCAGTAATTCACGTCGTTGCAAACAGCGACCCATGCTATTCCTAGCAATGGGTAATTGGAGAAAAAAAGATCAAGAACTACTTATGAGAACTTCTACCCTTTTGGAAAATTTGCTGTATCATCTTGAATCACTTTATTGTATTACTTTAGCCTAGCAACTAAAGCAACAGTTTACGACTCAAACTTTATAACCCTAAGGAGACAGGGAGAAATACAACTGCATTAAGTAAAATATTAACATGCTCTCCAGGCGACTCATAGCTCTCAACAACTCATAGCTCAGCCAAAAATAAATTTATCTATTGCATATTTCCTCTAACATTTAAGAGGCTGACTTTCTTTTAAATCTCATTTTCAGTAATAAAGTAGGCTGGGTATCTGGGTCTACACTCCTCTTGAAACATGACAAAAATTCCTGGATGGAACATAAAAACAACTTCTTAAGTGCACCAAAAAAGTAAACAATATTCAACTAGACAGAAAAGAGACATTTCTTTGAAAGAAAAATAAGAATGACACCTGACTTCAAGCAACAAAGGAGGCAGAAGACTGCAAAATAATTTTAATGTACTGAAAAGAAATCAAAACCACCAACGAAATTATATACCTAGTATAAAAAAAAAAAAAA